TGAAACCTCCTTTGCTTTTTCTCTTATCTCTAGTCTCTTTCTATATATATCCCGACCTATTTCGAGTTTTCTTCGAAAGGCTGCTTTTAAGCCATTGACACTTTTGTCATCAGTTCCGGTTATTTCAGAACGCTGTCACGTTGCGGTATCGTGCATTCTCCCGAAATACCACGCCGTAATTTTGTTTGTTTTTGTAAAAATATAGCGCATCCTTTCCATTCAGAAAGTTCATCTGTCTGTGCTAATTTTCAGAACGGTATACAGACTCAAATTATCCCAGCGAAACATGCGGAATCAAAAAGGTGCCGAGAACCGGCTGGTGGGTGACGAGAGTTTATATTTAAAACAAATATATACATGACAGCTGACACACACGTTGAGAGCCTGGACGGGGTGGTGGTGGAGAGGTGGTAAGGATTACGACCGAAAGCAGCTGTGAGCTTGCAGCTGCACTCCGCCCATGACTGCTGCTTCCAGCCTTCATACCGGTGCTACGCCACTGCACCTTCCCGAAGACGGTCTACTGCCATGGTCCATTTCTGAGATTCCGTCCAGGCCTCGCGCATTGCTAGTGCGTTGACGGTTGCCACCCAGCTGTCGGCGTCGTTCCAGACCCCGTCGAATTCCGGCAGTTTCTAGGTGGACGGCGATGGTGGGGCGGCACGTGAGACTGCGGATATCACTGAGGCAACGCCGTCGAGCTGCTCTGAGAGCTGCAGGAGGGTGCCCCAAAGCAGCCTGCGTTGCTCCAATGGGCTTGCCTCAAGGTCGTGCGAGGCAGCTACGTCTAACACGGCGTTAGTGACACGCAATTCTGGCAACATTGTAGGAGCTCGCGTGGAGATTGGTGCTGTCAGTTGGTCAGTCTTGACGCGGAGTAGCGCGATGGTACGCCGCAGGTTCGCGGCGCTGTCGTGTGTGAAGTCCAAAGCGTTGGTGATCGCGGTCTCCGAATGAGTAGAGGTTGCAGCACTCACGCCGGTGAGGTTGACAAGCAAAGAAGCCTGGACGGCGTTCCCTGGCAGCTCGTATGTTGAAAGACTGCGGCGACGGAAATGTAGGCCATGGGAAGCGTTAGCGGCATTCCCAAAGGACAGGAGCCGGTGCAGATCCCTGCCGCAAAATGGTGGCAGGTTGTCAATAACGTCATGTTCTACAACCCCAGGGGAGGCCTGGACGCCGTCCACTGGTGGTTTGAAGGGTAGCTGAAGCGACGGGTGGGACCCCGTTGCCAAGGAAGCGTGAATGGCGTTCCTCGATCGAGAAGCCCGCTCTGCCGACGAACCACGAAGACACGTACCGGTGGCTTCCCGCAAAGGGTTCCCTTGTCGGCTTGCGCTGACAGCAGAATCCATAGCCAAGGACGCGTGGACGGCGTCCCTTGTGAAATGGTACCGGTAACGGGTGTTGCAGCCGCCGAGGAGGCCTTGACGCCGTCCCCGAACGGTGGTGGCAGTGGCGGCAGGTGAACAGCCGCCAAGAAGGCCTTGACGCCGTCCTGAAGCGGCGCTTATTGCAGCTGTCCTGGATGACGAAGCCCGGACGTAAGCCTTCTTCTTCGTCGACTGCGCATTGTAACGGAGAGAAAAGAGACAACACCTGATTCTGGGCCAGCTGTTCTTATTCTGCTTCTTCTTCCTCTACCTTTCCTTGGCTGCCCACGTGCCGAAGCACAAGCATGTTTCTTGGTCATAAAAATATCTATATATATATATATATATATATATATTGTTGTGAAAATTATTTATGCGTCTTATCTTTTCATCTGTACATACTGATCATCACCAGGCAAGTTTAGGTTGTGGGGCACATACTCGAGTGAATAAAGGAGAGTCTTGGGTGTACTCGACGCCATTTCACAAGTGGTCGACGTGCAATGGGTCGTCGTGCAATGCTTCGAGAACTTGTTTTCGCAGCGAACGGGAAAGTACTGGCACCCACCGATGCCCATCCGCATTGTAAGTATAGTGCTGCAGGACATTGTTATCTAGCTTCAACAGCCGTAGCTGACGACGTAGTCTAGCATTAGGTGGAGAAGGCGAGCCATTCAAGTATCCGATGATGCGGTTACAGTAGGGGTCGTCACGTTGGTACGCGGCAAACTGGGCGCTGCTGTTTAAAGGTAGTGACCCAGCAACTGCCAGGGGTGATAACGTGAGTGAAGAGGAAGCCGCTTGATCACCTGAGGGGCATTGAGGATGCGTGGTTGGAGATGAAAGTGGCAGAAGGCAGCGAGAGAGAGCGTCGGCATCCTGATGCTGTTTGCGGGACCTGTACACAACGTCAAAAATGTACTCTTGTAAACGCAGTATCCAGCGACCAAGGCGCCCAGACAAATTCTTCAGCGAAGACAACCAGCATAGGGCATGGTGGTCGGTAACCACAGTGAAGTGGCGTCCATACAGATAAGGTCGGAATTTCTGGATGGCCCAAACGACAGCGAGACATTCCTGCTCTGTTATTGAGTAGTTCTGCTCCGCAGGTGTTAGTGCGCGGCTGGCATACGCAACTACTCTCTCACGTGAAGTGTCGTCGCGCTGGAGGAGGACAGCACCAATTTCATGGCTGCTGGCATCTGTGTGCAGGAAAGTGGGTGCACTCTCATCGAATTGCCGGAGGACGGGGTCTGATGTCAAAGCACGCTTAAGGGCTTGGAAAGCACACTCGCACTCGTCAGTGCACGTGAAATCCGTTCCTGACGTCAGAAGCTTGTGTAACGGCCCCGCAATGGCAGCAAAGCGACGGATGAAGCGGCGGAAGTAAGACACCAGGCCCACGAAACTTCGCAATTGTTTTTGATTACGCGGACGTGGAAAACTAATTACGGCAGCAACCTTGTCGGGGTCGGGTCGAACGCCGTTTTTGCTGACAAGGTGACCCAATACTTGGATGCTTGTGCTGGCGAAGTGGCACTTTTTTCTATTGAGCTGTAGGCCAGCGTTCGAAATGCACGTTAGAACTTCGTCCAAACGTTTAAGGGGCTGAGGAAAAGTAGAAGAATAAATGACGATGTCGTTTAAATAACGTAAGCAGGTTTTCCATTTGAGACCGCGTAAGACAGTATCTATCATGCACTCGAATGTTGCTGAAGCGTTGCATAAGCCAAAAGGCATGACGTTAAATTCGTAAAGCCCGTCAGGCGTCGCAAACGCTGTTTTCCTTGTCTGCTTCGCGCATAGGTATTTGCCAATACCCGGATCGGAGGTCGAGGCTGGAGAAATATTCTGCGCCTTGTAGGGAGTCCAGGGCATCATCTATGCGTGGCAACGGATATACGTCTTTTTTGTTATCTTATTGAGCTCTCTGTAATCAACACAAAAGCAGACAGAGCCATCTTTTTTCCGGACCAACACCACAGGAGACGACCAGGAGCTGGATGAAGGTCGACTAATATCCCGTTTGAGCATGTCGGCGACGTTTTCCTCAATTAATTGCCGTTCCGCCGAGGAGAGACGGTATGGGCGGTGGCGTACGATGGAGCTGCCTTCGGTTTCGATGCTGTGCTCTGCAACGAAGTGCGGCCCTGAACTTTGCAATTTACATCAAACGAAAGGCTGTGCTTTTGGAGAAGGTCTAAGAGGTCTCTCTTTTGCTCGGTAGTGAGGTGAGGACTTATGGTGTCATTTAAGGTAACAGTGGTAGCCTTAATATCAGTAGTAGCAGACAAAGGTGGTGATTCTGCGTGAAGGGGAACCAGCGAAAAGGGCTCACTGTCAGCGAAGCAGCTTACAGCAGTGCTCTGGGGCAGCATCACTGGCGAAGAAGTTGGATTCAAGGCGGTGACCAATGCTTTACCGTCGTTAAACCGCACAAGGCCGGGTGGCGGAAGAGATACATTCTTATGCTATGATTTTTTGTTGTATGTTGTGTGTATAAGTGCTTTCAGCCATGGTGCGCTGTATACATAGCTATTTTTTTCTCTTTCTTATGCTGCTTCTCTCTCCTTCAAATAATTACTTTCGGCGACAAAAGGTGGCGGGGGGATGCTAAGGTTTTAAATACAGAAGTTCTATGTTTCATTACATTCTTCTATAATTGTATAAGGTTGCAAAAGATACTCATGTTCCGTTAGCCATAGTACAAGGATCTTAGAGCCACATGTCCTTTTCTTTCTAGGGATGGGGGGATGATGTGGTGTTTCGGTTCTGATTTTATGGTTGCCAGATTCGGTTTCATGTAAAGTGTTTTCATCCTCAGGGGGCACTACCCTGTGCATGTTTTCGCGGCATTGTACATAATAAAGGAGTTCCTGCTTGGCTACCGGCTGCTGCGCACCTCGTGTCCGCCGGCTCTTTAGCGCCGTGCCCTGTGTTCTCTGTGCGGCGCGTCCGCCACATGATACTACAAGAACGAAGTGGGCAGGACGATCGCAGACTGAAACAAGCCGCGTTTCAGACGGACATGGCACGTTTGTGCGACATGTCTAACGGAAGTTACCAATTGAAGATATGACGTTAACCACAGATGTGCGTATGTGCCCTGTATAACGAGAGTAGTCTACCAGTTCCACTTGACCGGTAGAATGGTTTGTGTGGAACAGACTGGAAGGTGTATTAATATGCGTTTCATAGACAGCTACACACGGGTCTGATAAGTGCGTCAGCAACTCATTAGTGTTCATCTCCAGCAAAGTACAAGATTTTGTTTAAATATATAGAATTCTTGGAACATGTCACGTGGTCATGTTTGTCATAGTGCATGCATTTAGTTGGTTTCAAAAAGAGTGGTGTACTTTTCCAATAAACTTGTCGTTATTCTGCGATATTCATGTCCACTTCGTTCTTGTTTCTCGATTCTAGTGCAGTTTTAATTTTCCTAAATGTCTTACCAACTGACCCCCCCCCCCCCCCCAAATATACGCTTCTCGAGGTCAGTGTACGTCAGCAATGTAAGAAAGTTCCGTTGGAAATCGAGTTCTCGAGACAACGTCACTCGTGGGAGGGCGCCCCGAGTTATCTCGGGGTTAATTGCCATCACGGAACCCGAGGCTCCGCACTCACCAGCGCTTCGACCTTTTGCTGTATTCGATCTGCGCCGACACGTTGCCGTCGTGGTCGTGGTTTCCAGCCAGTATGAGCCATGGCACTTGAAGGGATGGCGCAGAGTACACGTCCTCAAATGTCCTCTGCACAGCGACGAAAGACGGTGGCAGTGAGCACGGCAGCTTTGTTACATCGTCATAGGCGGCAGCAGCCTGACTACACACATTAAAAGCTTTCTCCTACGTTCCACCATTCAACCACGGTGCACCTACAAACTTCTTAATCCCGTCTGTCCCTATAATTTTGCGTATCCTCCTGACGCGTTTGCTTTCTCTTGGAATCCAGTTAGTTAACCTTAATTAGCTGCGGTTATCCTGCCTACAAGCTACGTGCCTGGCCCCTGTTCATTTCTTCTCTATTATTACGGGGCTCTGAAACACGCGGCCCACTACCTTTTTTTTATTAGGTACGTTCGTGAGCTACACAGACATGACTAATTTGTGAGATTGAATGATTTTTAAATGAAAAAAAAGAGAAAAGTAAGCCCAGTAACTGTCTCTCAGGGGGAAGACACCTCAACAGTAGCTCACGAAGGCTGGGGGTAAAGGAGGAATTAGAAGGATAGGATTAAAAGGTAAAAAGAAAGAGAGGTAGGAGAGAGTGAGGCGCAGGGACAGCGAACGACAGAAAACGCCGGAAGTAAGCAGAGATAGGAAAGATGGGCACGGTCGCAGTAGTGCGTGGACGCGGCACCACTCGGCGAGAGCTCTTGTCGGCGTCAGGAGAATGCGTAAGGCGAGCCCAATCGGCCAGAGCTGCGCTGTCGTCGGAGATCGCGGGGGCACAACCGGTCGGCCCGAAATTCAGCGAGCGAGTCAACCTGACTGGTTTAAGGCATTGTTCCGTGAGGCCTCCCATGTGTTCACTTTCATGTGAAACGTAACTCTGAAGGAAAAATTATATTTCACAACCAACGTATAGATTTGAGTCATTTTAGCGTCGGTATGGACAAGCTTTTGAAATGCTGGCGCCAAATCTTCTTCAGAAAGGACATGTACATAGATATTGAAAAGTTTTATTTCAAGTGGCAGCGTTTGCAGGTAAATTGTAATATTCACCTTCGCTTGTTGACTGCATGCCCCGTACCTTTCGGGACAAAATTGCGCGACTGCTCTGGCTGATCTGAGTTTAAAGCGGAACTTCAGTGCATTTTCAACCATTCTGAAATAATGCCGTTTTCCAATAGTAATGACAGTCCTTCAACAGCTAGGGTGCTGCATTCTGCCCAGAAAGTCGTCAATAATTTCAATTTAGCAAAAACGATGAGTGAAAACTGAAACCGAAACGCTCCGTCTTTCATGTTGAGTATCGCAAGACGTCACGGGATCCATACCAATTACGTCATGAGATATGCTACGCACCCCTCGGCTGGCCAAATGTACACAAAGCTTACGTGCCTCCTCTGGCGCGTTAAAGGCAAGCTGGCGATGTCTTCTGACGCGGAATCAAGCTGTGCGAGCTCGTGTGAAGTGACCAGCGAGGAGTCCAGCGACAAGTGCATCTATCTGAGCGGGTAAGCATCGCCTTTTCATTTCGACCCACCGGTGCGTGAAACCGCTGATGTACCTCGCATTAACAGCATCTAGCAGCGGCAAAACTAAGCATGAGCCAGGGTCATAACTTTTGTTTTATCTTACACCCTGATTACGCAGCTGATTGCTGTCGCTTTAACCCACATAGATGTCCGTGTGGTAATTGCCATCCCGACCGCAGGGATGAGATGTTGTGCTGCAGGAGCATCCCTATTATCATGACAATGCTCGGGGAAAACACATGCATTTGCACGCACAGAATGTTCCCACTGCTGTGTTTGGATGGAGACATCCTGGAGGTGAACAGGAGGCAGATGCACTTTTACAACCCCACTTATTTGGAGAGACTTGATCCCAACAGGTTAGTGCAGCGCATTTGCTTGTTACGCTTTCGAGCAAGAAACTCGAGACGTGCATCGCGTATTGCGTGGGACAAAATGCGGCCATTCTCGTGTACCGTTGCAGATTTACTACGACGAAGACATAAATTAGCTGTATTATCTGTCAGGCGCACGTTTTCGTGAATCTTTCAGCCATGCTGTGGTACACTCACTGCTTAATAATATTTTTTGAATGAAAGAATGAATGTTTAGTTCATAATCTATTTATTTACAGATAACAAACGCTTGTTATCTCTAAATAGCGCACAAAGCACCTTTTCACGAATAGTGCTGTCGGAGGGGAACGAGTGATAACACACTCCCTTGGTGTTCCGCTCTTTGTTTGTGCAACCATCAGCGGAACACCACTTTCCAACTATCGTTTTTTACAGCCCGCTATGCCGCTACGAAACTGAACAACTGTACAAGTGTCGTCTCGTCGCTGACGCCTCGAGAAACAGCGTGGTGGTGGTGAAGAAGGCGACTAATTTCAGCAGGCCGGTATGCAGCGCGGTGCAGCGCCGCAGCGTGCGGTTAGACGGGGAGGGGGGGGGGGGGGGCCATGGAAGAACGCACGGAGAAGGAAAGAAACAACTCCTTCCTCTGTAGGGTAGACGAGTAGACGCATACGTCACGAACACAGGGCAGCCGGCATGTAAAGGCGTGATTTCTGAATTGGATACCAATGTTTAAAATTCTTTTCCTAAAAAAACTAAATGACTTACAACTGTGCAACTTGGCAAATATCATCAGGACATCAAAGACAACTTATGTTGAAAGTTTTATTGAAATCAGTGAATATGAAAAAATCGTCATGGTTCCCGTTTAGGAACCCTGCCTTTCAAATCACTGTCAGGGCCCCGCCGTGCTGGTCCTGTGGCTAAGGGACTCGGATGCTAACCCAGAGGCCGTGGGATCGAATCCCGGCTGCGGCGGCTGCATTAACGATGGAGACGGAAATGTTGTAGGCCCGTGTGCTCAGATTTGGGTGCACGTTATAGAACCCCAGCTGGTTGAAATTTCCGGAGCCCTCCACTACGGCGTCTCTCATAATCATATGGTGGTTTTGGGACGTTAAACCCCACATATCAATCAAGCCGCAGTCAGAGCGCAAAGAATGAACAAGACGCCGCCATAGAGGAACGCACAGGGACGTTCAACCACGGTTACGGCCGGGCTGCACCTGTGGCGCGCTTCTTTCCTTGCGGTCTTCTCACTCGTTGCGAAAGCAATGGGAGACTTTCTGAGTATGTTTGGCCACCCGTCGGCTATAGGGGCAGTGCAACCCTGACCTTCAATCCCCTGCGCCGCACGCACGGCACAAGAGAGTTGCTCGAGTGAAACCGCGGAATGCGGGTTTCAGACGGAGGGAGGAAGGTGGAGAGGGAGGATCGTCTTCTTTAAAAAAGCTAGTATTATCAGATGGCTCACCGCATAATGTAGGTATGCATGTGCTCGTGGACGATACAAGCTGAAACACAGTAAAAATGAGGAATAATAGACTAACGAGGCATGAAGCATTAACGATGATCAGGGAAAAAAAGATAAACAACGCTGCGAATGTTCTGAGCAGAGAGCACCAAATACTTTTGGCCCTAGGTCTCATTGGAAAGCGAGGGTGCCATTAAGAGAGTTCGCTGACAGAAATGACAACCACGCATTTCTTCACTCATTTAAAAGTGCCTTAGAGACCCCCCAGGCATTGTGTAAGAGGGATAACAAAAAAAACATTTAAAACGTGTATAACGTACGAAAAGAACAAAATATGTCAGAAAAATATAAAAGGAATGTTGTAACACAAGCGGGAAGGCAATATATGTTATGATTGTATTATGTGCTAAACAACAAAAAGTGGCAAGGAAAACATACACTTTGAATAATGATAGCTTAATTACACAATTCAATTTGGGACATTAACATGCAAACAATGTACTTAGAGAGTGGATGCCACGTAAGGCGGCTTATAAAGAAAATAGTTGTAGTATGAACCATTCTTTTCATAAGCGTGAGTTGAGTAGATGCTTAAAGTTTTCTCGGTCATTGTCAAAAGTAATTGTGTAAAGAAGGCCCTTCCAAAAGTGGATGGCTTTTGAAAGAACGGAATACGAAAATGAATTAGTGTTTTCGTAAGTACGCATGAAGTAAATTGATTATATAAGCATTTGAAGTTGCGAAAATGATGACGGTGCGTTATAGATGCAAATATGAAATATTGATAGTACCCAAATCTCCCACCATTATGCAAAGAATGAAGAGATAAGTAGACATTAATTTGCGCGATGCTTTTGTTATAGTCGTAACAACGTAAAATGAAACGTATCGCCCTATTCTGTAAAGATTCGACTTCTTCAATTAAACATTTTTTGATGGGGAGACCAAGTGGATGTAGAGTAGCCAAGCTGAAATTGTACAATTGTTAGATAAGCTAGTTTACAAATATCATTAGTATACTATTGTAACATGTGACGTATGTAGCCCAATGATCGTGAAACATTGGCGCAACTGTATTCAATACGAGTTCAACACCGAGATATTTATATTGTGCGTCATGGAAGAAAGTCATGGTATTTATATGGTAGGAAAAGATAAATGTTGTACGCTTGTGGTTAAAGCTATCGATTTTATGTTTACCAACGTGAAGTTTCGTTAGTGAAGTGTTACACAAAAAAAAAACGTTCAAGGTCTTTCTGGAGGACTTAGTGAGGGTCATTTCAATTCACTTTATCACCTTAAGGACCCCTCAAGGGGGTGTTACATAAGAGGTGGGTTGTACAGAGATGTGAACTAATGCCACAATTTATTAATGAGACAGGTACATAGATAAACTTTGAACAGCATATGATGGACAAGTCATAGAAATGATGTCGCGGAGACGGCCATTCCATTCTGCAGCTACGCGGCAGAAAAAAAGATTTAGAATAGGTAGTGGTGCTAGAACGGGGTCGGGAGACTTGAAGTGGATGGCTCGTACGGGGGGAATGCACGTGGCGGGAGCGATGTAGGGAGGTCGGCTGAAAAAACTATGATAAAGCATGTAGTAAAGTGATAGTGTAGCGATTCTGCAGCGAGACGAAAGAGTGGTCAGTCCAGATTCCGTTTAAGGGATGACACACTGATGTCATAATAATAGGAAGAATGAATGAAACGCGCAGCACGATTTTGTACTACTTG